CTCTCATCTCTATCTAATCCCCAACCAAGCAATGACAGACCCTCTCATCTCTATCTAATCCCCAACCAAGCAATGACAGACCCTCTCATCTCTATCTAATCCCCAACAAAGCGATGACAGACCCTCTCATCTCTATCTAATCCCCAACCAAGCAACGACAGACCCTCTCATCTCTATCTAATCCCCAACCAAGCAATGACAGACCCTCTCATCTCTATCTAATCCCCAACCAAGCAAGTCCAATGTGTTTCTGAGTGTTGGAAATATAAATCTTATATACTTTCATCAGCTCCAATAAAGTTTGTTTCACTCATTAAAAGAATCTCTTCAAAGTTATGTGACTAATTTTGTAATTAATACCTTAAAGGCGTCACCAAACTGCTTGTTTTTTATGAAATGTACAGCCTTCTGAGTCTCTCCCGCAAAGTAGTCCCTCTGTTTTTCATCCAACATTCCGATACTGTACATGAATCCTGCATACTGATTCATCATCTGCCAAGGTCAAAGGTCATTAAGGTCAACGTTAATACACTACAGTATTAATTTTGAAGCTTACAATGCATGAAGTATTACTACATGAATTTAGTAATCTCATTAAAACATCTCCATTTGATTTTCTTTATATCTCAGTTTGATAAAGTGTATTTTCTAATTTTTGTTTTGTTTTAAATCTCTTAATAGAACTCACATCAGTTATCAAAAATAGTATTCTTAGACAAAAAAATATTAGATACAAAACTATAATTTGAGAAATCTGTCACCAAATTAGAATTCAAAAGGAACAGTTTTACTTAAATCGTCTACTTTCCTGAATGATAAAATTATATCAAGTTCAATAATATTCATATGAGCATTATACAATGAGAATACAAATGTCAATGAGTTATTTACTGATTCTGGATCACAGAGTCCATCACCGATGGCCATTCCCTTGAAGTTGATCTTGAGCCGGTCCGCTTGGTTTTCTGTATGTATTTTATAGGAAATGGCTGGCACATATTTGCCCGCATAAGACTGTAAACAAATTAACACCAATAAAACAACACGAAAGAAATAAAATCAACAAAATATCATCAATGCAATTTCAGTTACAATTTCAATATCAATCACACCTCTTATTTATTTACAGTATAATCATGTTTGGCGTGAACCCCGAGCTCCTGTGCTCAAAGGTATGAAGGGCCATTTTGATCAAGGGCAGGTAATAATCCCAGGTGTTATCTTTGCCCTTTGTACAGCAATGGATCAACTGTTATACAGTTCAGTTTGGGCATTCAACATGGCCTTTTGAGATGGGATGATAGGGGATTGTGCAAGTTTTAGTAATTTCTTATAACTTGCACAACTCACTCGCAAAATTTGATCCTTGCATGAATCTGAAGTTGGCACTCGAGATAACAAAAACTCTTTTTCACAAAGCTGTATGCCACAGCAGCTTCAGCAGACAATGTAGGGAGAGTCTCCAACTCAACCCATTTGGTGAATAGATCCACCACCATCAACATATATGGCCGGTCGGCCATTTCATTGGTAAAGAATGGGCCCAATGAGTGTCAATGAGAACATCACTTTAGGGCAAAAGCAGTTTTAATAGACAACTGGTCTTTATAGACAGGTGGTCTATAAATAGACAGCGTTGTTACTATATTTATAACAAAGTTTAGTAAGTAGAGTGAAACCTGTATATAAAGAATATCCTAGGAAAATAGCAAACTGTCTTAACTGAAATATACAGATACACGTGTATATGACACAATGCAGATATGTTGTATTGGGTGAAACGCTGTTTGAGACTTAAGGTTCATATTATACAATATGACTATGAACATACCTCTCCTGTAGCATAGAAATCATTCTTCTGGAACTGATAGAAGATCTGGAAAAACTGCTGGAGGAAACTGAAAAATATAAAAAAGGGAACTGTAAACCAAATCATAACCAAATACCAATACACTCATCTACCATTAAAACAACCCACTCTGCTAAACCTTAAATACACTCACTCAGCTATTTACTTCAAATCCCTAACCGAGCTTTCAACTTTATTACCCTTGTCCATCCACATTTTAAATACCCTCACTCAGCTATAATTTAGATACCCCCATTCCGTGCCCCACTCATTTGGCCACCTTAATACCATCACTCAACTATAATTTAGATACCCCTATTCCGTGCCCCACTCATTTGACTACCTTAATGCCCTCATGATCACTCAGCTATAATTTAGATACCCCCATTCCGTGCCCCACTCATCTGACCGCCTTAATACCCTCACTCAGCTATAATTTAGATACCCCTATTCCGTGCCCCACTCATTTGACCGCCTTAATACCCTCACTCAGCTATAATTTAGGTACCCCTATTCCGTGCCCCACTCATTTGACCGCCATAATACCCTCACTCAGCTATAATTTAGATACCCCCATCCCGTGCCCCACTCATTTGACCACCTTAATACCCTCACTCAGCTATAATTTAGATACCCCGATACCGTGCCCCACTCATTTGACCACCTTAATACCCTCACTCAGCTATTATTTAGATACCCCTATTCCGTGCCCCACCCCTCATCTGACCACCTTAATACCCTCCCTCATGATTTTCAGCTGCTTAAATGCCCCAACACAAGTATTCACTTTGCAAAAGATTATTTGTTATTGACAGGAAGACATTATCAAAGATTATTTATCATTGACAGGAGGACATTATCAAAGATTATTTATCATTGACAGGAGGACATTATCAAAGATTATTTATCATTGACAGGAGGACATTATCAAAGATTATTTATCATTGACAGGAGGACATTATCAAAGATTATTTATCATTGACAGGAGGACATTATCAAAGATTATTTATCATTGACAGGAGGACATTATCAAAGATTATTTATCATTGACAGGAGGACATTATCAAAGATTATTTATCATTGACAGGAGGACATTATCAAAGATTATTTATCATTGACAGGAGGACATTATCAAAGATTATTTATCATTGACAGGAGGACATTATCAAAGATTATTTATCATTGACAGGAGGACATTATCAAAGATTATTTATCATTGACAGGAGGACATTATCAAAGATTATTTATCATTGACAGGAGGACATTATCAAAGATTATTTATCATTGACAGGAGGACATTATCAAAGATTATTTATCATTGACAGGAGGACATTATCAAAGATTATTTATCATTGACAGGAGGACATTATCAAAGATTATTTATCATTGACAGGAGGACATTATCAAAGATTATTTATCATTGACAGGAGGACATTATCAAAGATTATTTATCATTGACAGGAGGACATTATCAAAGATTATTTATCATTGACAGGAGGACATTATCAAAGATTATTTATCATTGACAGGAGGACATTATCAAAGATTATTTATCATTGACAGGAGGACATTATCAAAGATTATTTATCATTGACAGGAGGACATTATCAAAGATTATTTATCATTGACAGGAGGACATTATCAAAGATTATTTATCATTGACAGGAGGACATTATCAAAGATTATTTATCATTGACAGGAGGACATTATCAAAGATTATTTATCATTGACAGGAGGACATTATCAAAGATTATTTATCATTGACAGGAGGACATTATCAAAGATTATTTATCATTGACAGGAGGACATTATCAAAGATTATTTATCATTGACAGGAGGACATTATCAAAGATTATTTATCATTGACAGGAGGACATTATCAAAGATTATTTATCATTGACAGGAGGACATTATCAAAGATTATTTATCATTGACAGGAGGACATTATCAAAGATTATTTATCATTGACAGGAGGACATTATCAAAGATTATTTATCATTGACAGGAGGACATTATCAAAGATTATTTATCATTGACAGGAGGACATTATCAAAGATTATTTATCATTGACAGGAGGACATTATCAAAGATTATTTATCATTGACAGGAGGACATTATCAAAGATTATTTATCATTGACAGGAGGACATTATCAAAGATTATTTATCATTGACAGGAGGACATTATCAAAGATTATTTATCATTGACAGGAGGACATTATCAAAGATTATTTATCATTGACAGGAGGACATTATCAAAGATTATTTATCATTGACAGGAGGACATTATCAAAGATTATTTATCATTGACAGGAGGACATTATCAAAGATTATTTATCATTGACAGGAGGACATTATCAAAGATTATTTATCATTGACAGGAGGACATTATCAAAGATTATTTATCATTGACAGGAGGACATTATCAAAGATTATTTATCATTGACAGGAGGACATTATCAAAGATTATTTATCATTGACAGGAGGACATTATCAAAGATTATTTATCATTGACAGGAGGACATTATCAAAGATTATTTATCATTGACAGGAGGACATTATCAAAGATTATTTATCATTGACAGGAGGACATTATCAAAGATTATTTATCATTGACAGGAGGACATTATCAAAGATTATTTATCATTGACAGGAGGACATTATCAAAGATTATTTATCATTGACAGGAGGACATTATCAAAGATTATTTATCATTGACAGGAGGACATTATCAAAGATTATTTATCATTGACAGGAGGACATTATCAAAGATTATTTATCATTGACAGGAGGACATTATCAAAGATTATTTATCATTGACAGGAGGACATTATCAAAGATTATTTATCATTGACAGGAGGACATTATCAAAGATTATTTATCATTGACAGGAGGACATTATCAAAGATTATTTATCATTGACAGGAGGACATTATCAAAGATTATTTATCATTGACAGGAGGACATTATCAAAGATTATTTATCATTGACAGGAGGACATTATCAAAGATTATTTATCATTGACAGGAGGACATTATCAAAGATTATTTATCATTGACAGGAGGACATTATCAAAGATTATTTATCATTGACAGGAGGACATTATCAAAGATTATTTATCATTGACAGGAGGACATTATCAAAGATTATTTATCATTGACAGGAGGACATTATCAAAGATTATTTATCATTGACAGGAGGACATTATCAAAGATTATTTATCATTGACAGGAGGACATTATCAAATTACCTATATAAGTCATTGGCCACATCCACTTCGTTCCTGGCGTACCCAGCGTCAGCACCTGTGAAGCTGAAACCTGTTCCGACCGGATTATCCACATACAACATGGAGTATTTCCTGTTCCACGTTATCTTTCTCTCCATCACTATAGAACGAATAAATTGCAGGATCAATGAATTAAAACAAAACGTTACATACATCTAGAACACCATCATACGTCTTGTTCTGTCAATGAGATTTAGATACAACTAGGACAGACTTTATATAAATCGCCAAAATTACTTTGGTACTGCAAAACAATTTTGAACAGTGAAATGCTTTAGTAACTAAGTTGTGGCCAGTCATTTTCACATTGTATTTTTCTTGCAGTTTCCCACATTTAAACATGAGTTCTGCCTTAAGTGTTGGCCTTATCAAACCTACATCCTTACGAACCATTTGAAAATTCGGGGAGGTGGGGGGCGGGGGGGATAGATTCCCCATGCTCAGATTTAAAAACAAAAAGGTTTGTATATACAATGTATCCTTAGGGATGGCATTTTTTTAGTTGTTCTTTCAGATAAAATCATTAGATCAAATTCTTCGGATATGGGGGTAGTTCAACAAATTCACTGGTTGGAAATATCAAAATTTAAGGAGTTTCCCTCCTATAGAGCGTCAGAAAGTATGCTAAATGGCAACTGTCACTACACAATGAAAAAACTATTGCTAGAATTGCTACCAAAACAGCAGATTAACTTAACTAATACTTGAACTAGAAATAGTTCTCAGCAAATCTGGGATGTCACTCTCCGCCTGACAACAAATATAAATAATATCATTGGAGAACTTACATTTGATAGATTTGTCGACCATGATTGGTCCATTCTCCACAAACAGACCAAAAAGGGATGATCCCCCCGGACCTCCTTGTAACCATAGTACCACAGGGGCATTCAGGGGGTCCTCCTACATAATAACAAAATAGACTGTAGAGACAAGCACAGCAGTGGGTAAGTAATCTTTAGATTGTAGAGACAAGCACAGCAGTGGGGAAGAAATCTTTAGATTGTAGAGACAAGCACAGCAGGGGGTAAGTAATCTTTAGATTGTAGAGACAAGCACAGCAGTGGGTAAATAATCTTTATATTGTAGAGACAAGCACAGCAGTGGGTAAGTAATCTTTAGATTGTAGAGACAAGCACAGCAGTGGGTAAGTAATCTTTATATTGTAGAGACAAGCACAGCAGTGGGTAAGAAATCTTTAGATTGTAG